GATGAGGATATGGAAGCTCAGAAATTGTCTGTACATTGCCTAAGGTCGCATAGCATGCAAGGGTCAGGGTCAGAATTCACCCAGCTCTCTGGCTCCAAACCCACAGTTCAGGTTCCCCCTCTCCTGTCTAGCCCAAGTCAGGCCCGGAAATGTTGGCGAGAGGAATGCAGATCCTCCAGCCCAGCATGCCAGCTTTGACTCTGATCAGCCAGCACCTCAGATAAAGGAAGATGCCTTCTAAAGGCCTGCAGACAGCGCTGGGCTGATCTGGGAAGGCCCCCGGAGGCCCCTGAAGAGCTGAGCCAAGCTCCAGCTCTCCACCCTTCACACTCATCCGGTGAGCTGACACACCCTGGAGTCCTTTTACTTCTGCAAATTCCTACCAATACCTCCAAAGTGCTCTGGAATTTGTCATTAAAATCAAAATGCTCTAAGATTTATACTTGAAATTAAACAAAATTAAGTGTATTGTTTTTTTGTTTTGTTTTGTTTTGTTTTTAGGTTTTTGCCATAGGGTGCTTACACTTGCTGGAGAGAGACAGAGACAGTGAGAGGGAAAGCGAGAAAAGCACCCCTCTGCAGGAATGGCCAAGCCACAATCTCTTCTCCTCCCTTCTCCTCCAGGGATTTTGGGCAGGCTTGAACAAGAGTGATTTTCAAGTTCTGGGTCCCAGACTTGAACCGCAGTTGCCATGTGGGAATCCTTAACCATCACGCCACCTGCTGGCTCCTGAGATAAAATGTTTTTTATTGCCAGAGACATACTCACTTGTCAGAGAGAGAGAGAGGAATAAAGAACCCCCACCATGGGGTGTGGTAATGCTACAGTCTCTTCTCCATTTCTCCATCTTGTCTGGAGCTGGGGCACACACTCACGTGTACTACGTGTTTTTCAAGCTGTCAGGGCTGGGATTTAACCAAGGTTGGCCATGTGAGATCCAGCTCCCTTAAACACTAGGCTAAAGGGCTGGACTTATCTTGGGAATTGTTCTGGGACAGTATAGAATGGCAGGAGTCAAATTTTGGAATCAAAAAATTTGTGTTCTGGAACCAGCAGTTAGCCTAATGGCTATGTCACTGGACTCCCACGTAGTCGACTGTGGTTCGAGTCCCGGACCCAGTGGCTTAAACTCATGCCGGGCGCATGTGCGTGCATGCCCAAGATCCCGAGAGGAGAATGGAGAAAGGATTGCAGCATGGCCATCCCCCCTAGGGGGTAATTTCTCGCTTTCTATCTCTGTCTCTCTCTGTCTGTCTGACAAGCGCACGCGCCCTATAGCCAAAACCTCTCAAAAAAAAAAAAGCTTGTGCTCTAGCCTCAACTTGGTCTCTAAGGTCATGTGACATTAGGTAGGCCACCACCACCACCCCCAGCTACAGTTGCCTCATCTGTGCAATGGAAGGGCAGGATCCTTTCTTTCTTTTTAAAATTTTTCAAAAGTTTATTTATTCTTTTTTTCCCATGAGCAACAGAGACAGAAGAGGGAGAATACCTCCAACAGTCTCTCAACACTATAATCCACTGCTAGCTTCATCCATACCAAGATTCTGGTCATAGGCATACCCAGTGAACTCAGAGTATTTTCATGATTCGAACACAGAACCTCCACATATGGGTCAGCCTTATAGAGCTTTTGTTTTACTGCTGCATCTCTTTAGCCTTGGGACCATTTCTTGCTTTCTTTTTAATTGTGCCATAGGGCACATGCACTCACCAGAGACAGAAAATAAAAAAGCAGCCTCCCCGCTGTGGGGAATGATCACACCACAATCCCTTCTCGTCCACCTCTCCCTCCTTTTGAGATTTTGGGCGCACACACAGTGTATTCCTCAAGTCCCTGGGACTCAAACACAGGGTCAGCCATGTGGGATCCAACTGCCTTAACCACCACGCCACAGGCTAACCTAGAACCATTTATTTCTAACATTATTTTCTATTGTTAATTATTCATGTTTTTTTGAAATTGTTGCAACATATTTATTATTAATTACATTTAAATTAATTTGGTTTTAGAACTTTGAGTTGCCCAAAGTGATTACAATATAGTGGGAAAAGTAGTAGCTGCAATTGTACTTGATTTGGGCTCTCAGCTTTTGTTCTCTCATATGTAAAAGAAATTACGATCATGTGATGATCACGTTTGTAAAAGATGTTCTTGGACCAGCAGGTGGCATGGTGGTTAAGGGTGTTGGACTCCCACGTGGCCGACCACCATTGATTCCCAGACTTAGCAGCTTGCTTCCTAACTTTCTCTCTCTCTCTGCCTCACTTGCTCTCGCTCTCTCACTCTGTCCCTCTCTGGTCAAATTAAAGTAAATAAATACATAAGGTTAAATTGAGGACCAGCAAGTGGCATGGTGGTTAAGGGTGTTGGACTCCCACATGGTTGACCACAGTTCAAGTCCCAGACCCTGGCAGCTTTCTCTCTCTCTCTCTCTCTCCACCCCCATCTCTGGTCAAAGTTAAATAAAAAAAATTTTTTTAATGCTCTTTATCTGCATAGAACATGTGCTGTGATGAGAAAAGACTGTAACTCTTCCCTAACAACTCTCCCCTCCTCCTGCCTGCTGTGTCCCTCCTCTCAGCTGAAGGACTCCGGGGATGAAGCACACCCTGAGCCCTGCTCTGGAGCCTGCCTCAGTCCTGCCGCCCCACTGCAGTAACAGCCAGTGAGCAAAGAGCATCTTCTCCACCAAGCACCAAACGGGAACAAAGGGTCGACTGCAGGACGGATTTGCTAATGGAGCAGTAGGAACAGAAAGAGTGACCAGAGAAGGGGATGATTCTCCTCTGGAAAAGGAACTGGGCAGGGCCTCCTCTTCTCACAGAGACTTAGACCACAGGTCAGGCCTGCCCAGGAGCCAAGACACAGTGAGGCTGGGGACACAGCAGGCCTCCAAGCACCAGGCAGGGCTGATGGAGGAGACCCTCTAGGGGAGGAGGTGCTGAGCAGGTTTCTAAAACTGATGCTCTCAGACAGTCTGCAACCCCTGGGAAGTCTGAGGAAGACAGGGTCATGCCGGAGGAATGCAGCCGGAGGAGGTATGCATGCATAGACGCACAGTGGATAAGATGTCCGGGCCATAAACCTTATCTCCCACCTCTGATTACGAGGATGGCTATCTCTGGGTTCCCAGAAACTCTGCTGAGTCAGAGCTGGGGGCTGGAGGGTGCCTGGCAGCATACCTGAGTCACTCCAGGGTGTGTGGTCCATCCACAGGAGGTAGAAGAAAGGGGATCTCTCTGGCAGAGGTGGGGGTGAAGAGATGCATTGGGACGATTGGTCCCCCCAGAGGCTACCCATCAGCTCCAGGCCAGAAAGTTCCCTTTCTGGAAAGTTAGGCCCCAGGGCAACACAGCACCTCAATTATGCCCACTGTGACTCTGCTGCAGGGTTTAGGCATGGTTCTTAGTGGGATCTAATGATTTCTCCCTTTCTCTTCCACCATTAATTACGGTTCCAGCTTTAAACATTGCCATGGAATCACCCTCTACCACAGAGGACAGGAGTGAAGGCGGGAAACAGACCTGGGTCTCAGTTCCAGTGCCGCCTTCCCTCACCACCCGCCCCCCGCCCCCACCGTTACTCTGAGCTGGCACCTGGGTGGTGAAGGAAGAGAAAGGAGTCAGTGTTCCCTTGTCCTCCCTGTCCCTGAGAAATTCCCCACTTCCTTGCCAGGCTCCCTGCTGCTCCTCGCAGGCAGGTAAGACCTGAGACCTGCCTGGGAGACGAGACGCTGGTGTGAAGCAGAGGCCTGGAACAGAGCAGAGGGGCATGACATCATTGCCTGCCTTGAGCCTCTTCCACACGTACACACTCTCCCTCTGGCAGGTACGTCCCTGTCCCCATCCTCCACCCCACAGTGCTCCAAGATGTCCTCTACTGGTGCCCAGCCAGACTGATCTACAAATACTGCTTTGATCCTGTCACTCCCCGGTTCAGAGCTTCCCGTTGCCTTCAGAATAAAGGTCAAATTCCTCCTTTGACTGCTGAGGCTTAACCTTCCCCACCTGGCGCTAGCTGTCCTCCCCACCCGCCCCCAGGGCTGCACCCCTCCCTCCTGCAGCTCCACCTTGTCACCAGCACCTGCTGAAACCTTACCCTTCCTGCAGGCCCTGGCTCCAGAACACCCCATTCATTCCGCAAACATTTGCTGAATGAAAATCACGCACAGGCACCTCCCCACAAAGGCTGCCCCACTCACCTCGGCCGCTCCCACTGAGACCCCAAGAACAGGTCTTTGTTACACCCCTGGGCTGGGTTACCATCGCCTGTGGGCATGTCTGAGTTCCCCTCCCTGATGGTAAACCTGATCTGGTCGTTTAACATGTACTGAACATCGACTATTTATGAGGCATTCTTCCATATTTGTTCCATCTGATCCTTGCCGTGACCTTGGGAGCTCAGCATTACTATCCTTACTTACACATAAGGAACCCAAAGCTCAGAGAAGGAACTTGTCCAGCAAGTGGCCAAGCCAGGGTCCCTAATTCTAAGTCCTAGGCACTCGCACCAGCACCAAGTCACGTCCCTCAGAAGTAGAGCCAGGTCTTACACAAGGCTTCAGCACCAACACAGAAACGTGTTCCACCGACTTAGTGAACAAATGAGTCCATTTTTCAGTTCTATGCAGAGGAGTCCTCTTTACTCTGCTTCCTCTCTCTTCTCCCTCACATTCTTTCTTTCTTATCTTCCTCTCTTTCTCACCCAAGACCCCCAGGATCCAGGAGTAAAGAGAGAAAAGAGGTCATGATTGTTCTTAGGGACACTAGACGTTGAAGCTAAGCCTCAGGTGGGCCCCGCACAGCCTGAAACAGCCAAGGGAGGTAGTCCAGGGCTGGACGGCTCTCTCCTCCCCACCACTCCATTAGCTAGACCCAGGTGAGGTGCAACCCTCTCCTCCACCCTCCCCAGTCCAGCAGGATGTAGGCAGGAGAGCAGCAGGGCAAGCCTCAGGACAAAGGGTGGGTGGAAAGGGGCCTAAAGGCAGTGACTCACCATCCTTGAGCCTCCCCCAGTGAGGTGGGGGCTGGTCACCTGAAGTTACAGCCCATCCCTGAGAGACACTTGGGTGTCAGGAAGCTGGGTAGCAGGAGAAAGAACTCTGTTTATTCCACACTAAGGGCAGCCATGGCAACAGAGGCCAGTGCCTTGGGGCTGGGAGCAAAGGTCCTGGCCAGGGGCGGAGTCATGAGCACCCAGTTCTGGGCCCTGCTGCCAGCCTGCCCCTGGGCTGACTGCCCAGCCATGCCAGCCAGGCCTTCTCTGACCGAGCACCCCCTTGTGGGCAGAGCCAGACCTGAGGGCTGGGGAGGGACAGTCCTGAGAGAGAAGCCACCCATTTTACAGATACTCCCATTACCCCTCCAAACTCCTCCATGTGCCTTCTCAACTGAGACCAGAGACAGACACTAAAACAGAGGGGCTCCTGGCCTCTTTGCTGGGGAAAAGAAACAATAAAGAACTGAGCCAGCTCAGGGAAGTGGGTAGAGGAGGGGTATCAGTCAGAGGAGGCTTCCTGGAGGAGGGTGTCCCAGGCTAAGGATAAGTTAGACAAGGCTTCAGAGCAGACAAGAGTGTCACCTCGGTTGTAGGAGACACCAGATCAGTAGGAGTGGAGCTCAGATGACACCATCACTCCTTTCCTTCTCTATGCACTGAAATCACAAACTACCCATTTTGTACATTTAGTGCCCCCATGCCTCCTTCTCAGAGGCGAAGGTGGTATTCCCTCTGCCTAGACCAGGCCTTCCACCTGTGCTCCCAACGCCACCCCGCAGGGCCCCCTCCATCAAGTGACTTCTCTCTCTTGTCATGGTCCCCAAACCCAGTCCCAGGCTGAATTTCCTCCTCTACCTGTAGCCCTGCTCTAGTCACTTGCTCCTTAAAAAGGAAAGAAGGCCAACCCCTAGTGCGGAGGGTGAGCGCTGTGTGGAAGAAGTCAGATCCCACACGGCCGATGGTGGTTTGAATCCTGCTCCCAGCTATTTGAGAAACGTGCTGGGCACATGTGATGGGTGCCCCAAATCCTGACAGGATGGAGAAACAGAGGAGAAAGGATTATAGAGTGTGGCTGCACCCACCGGGAGGAGTTCTCTCTGCTAGTGCACACTCCCCCTCTCTGGCATTTAGAAGAAGGAGGAGAGGGAGAGGAAAGAAAAGAAGGATGGAAGGAAGGGGGGAGGGCAAAAAGTCCCATGTCTCCCATTCAGGACAACCCCTTCTCCTCACCTCTGCAGCAAACTCTCCGGAAGCAGAGATCATGCTCATCCTTAGTTCCCACTCCTCAACCCACCCCGACCCAGGCACCTCCATGAAAGGACTCAGCCCCCACTCATCAACTAGCAGCCAAAGGAGGGGCGCTCTTTTCAAGTCTTTTCTGTCCTGCCTCCCTGCCACACTGGACACCATCAACCACTTCTTCTTTCTTGAAAGACTGTTTCCTTTGACTCTTTGACATCTGCTTCTGTCCACTCCTTTCCAGTCTTCTTTCCCAAATCCCCTTTACCTACCCCGCTTCTATCCAGGGTCCTTCATCTTTCCGACGGGCCCTTTAACCCTGGAGACTCTAATGTGCAGTCATCTCTCATACAATTCCCAGGGCTCATGTACTCAGGAAACCCGACCACAGAGGCCAGATTGAGTGCCTTGGCCTTGAATGTTAGGGTCTCCGATTCTGCCTCAGTCTCTTCTGGCCAAACCCATCCACAGTTAGGGATGATGGCTCCCAGATAAGCATCTCCAGACTCTCACGGGATCATGGACCTGTGCTTCAGCCACTGCCTGTGTCCCACCCAAGCCTCAAACTCGCAGGTTCCAAACAGAAGTCATTCTCTAACACCACACCACTCTCCAGGCCTCCCTCTCTCTCATAATCCCTGTTTGGTAAACATTGCCCCCGTTTCCAAAGTGAGAAGCAAGGAGTCACCTGCTGTCCTGGGGATGGCACCAGAGCGGCCTCGCCGGGTTGTTACAGTGACATGTGTGGCACACGCAGTCCTGCCCGGCACATCACAGGTGCTCAGGAAGGTCTAGTTATTGCTTCTTTCCCTGCTCATCTGATGGGACATCAAGTCCTGCCAATTCTATCTTCCAAATTTCCCTTGAATCTATGTTCTCTCTACATTTCTGCTGAGCATTCACTAGTTTGAGCACTCCTTATCCCTTGCCTGGATGATTAGAATAACTGCCATTCTTGTCCTTTCAGATCTTTCCAAGACATCCAGCTAAAATGGTCTTGCCAAAATGCAATTCTCATCGCGATGCTTCCTTACTTCGAGCCTCAGTGTCTCCCCAGATGCGGAGACTGTGGCCCTCATCCTTTGGTGCATCCCTAGGGACTTTGTGGTAAATAGAGGCCCAGCCTCCAGTCCCAGAGAGTATTATTCTGCAGGTCTAGGGTATACCTGGGCACTTCCATTTCTAATACGCCCCTGTTCTTCAGTGTAGATGGTACAAAAAAGGCTGAGAACCAAGGAAATAAATATTCTTCATGGTCTACAAGGCCTGGCATTATTTGTTTGTTTTTTAGTTTGTGTGTGTGTGTCTATTTTGTTTCTTTTTTTTTTTTTAAAGGTTTTTGCCATAGGATGTGTGAGAAGAGAGACAGAGAGAAGGAGAGGAGGAAAATGAGAAATCACTCCCCAGGAGGAATGACCACACCACAATCCCTTCCCTATTCTCCTCTCAGGATTTTGGGCACATGCACACATCCAGTGTGATTTTCAAGTCACCAGATCTAGGACTCAAACCACAATCAGCCATATGGGAGTCCAGCACCTTAACCACCATGTCACCTGCTGGTCCCTACAAGGCCCTTCTTGACCTGGTTCTCACCCTCTGTTCCCACTTCATCTCCTGCCTGTTTTTTGCTATAGGGCACATGCACTCTCCAGAAAGAGAAAGACAGACAGACAGAAAGCGAGAAATCACCCGCCTCCCCCCACCTCACCGGGGCGGGGATGGCCACGCTGCAATCCCTTCTCCTCCATTCTCCTCTCAGGATCTTGGGCACGCACGTACACGTGCCCAGCGTGAGTTTATGCCACCAGGTCCAGGATTCGAACCATGGTCGACTACATGGGAGTCCAGCAACATAGCCATTACGCTAGCTGCTGGTCCCGCTATAAATTATTTTTAAAAGAATTATTTAATTTTATTTATTATTACCATTACAATTTCAATTTTGCTATAGGGCACATAGGCTCACCAGAGAAAGACAGAGAGAGAGAAAGTAAGAAATCAAGCCACCGGGTCCAGGACTCAAACCACGATCAACCATGTGCAGCATCTTAACCATGTCCAGTATCAAACCATGTCCAACATCTTAACCATCCTGTCCCACTATAAATTACTTCAATGAGAGAAACATGATTTTATAAGAGAACACTACGAAGGAACCTGAAAGTAAAGAAGATAGAGAAACCCCTGAGGAAGCAGTACTTGAACTGAAATATGAAGGATGAGTAAGTTCATAGAAAAGGCTGCAGTAGGGAGGAAAGGTCCAAATACGGGGGTGTGCAAAGGCACAGGTACGCAGGAGTATGACGTGTTCCAGGAACAGAAAGAAGGCCACTGTTGCCAGACTAAGAAGGAAAAAGGTCTAATAGGAGACAGGCCAGAGGGAGGACCAGACCGTGGGGAGCCTGAGGGTTTTAGGTCTTCACCTTAAGAATAATAGGACCTAACTAGACCTAATTATATTTAGAGGGTGACTTAATTTGTGTGTTGTTTTTAATTTGTTGCAAGGCATTTGTGCCTGCAGGGAGAGAGAGGGAGTGGGAGGGGAGATGGGAGATTGCCGCACTCCCTTCTCCATTCCCCTCTCAGGACTTTGAGCTCAAACGCACATGTGCTTTTCAAACCACGAGGTCTGGGTCTCCAACTGCCCAGCGACTAGCCCCTGTTTCGTTTTGTTTTTAAATTCTGCCAGGCCACCCAGGGCTTGACACATCATACCTGCTCATGGGACATGGTTATCCCACAATCCCTTCTCTTTCATTTGTCATACTGGGATTTGGGGTACACACATATCTGTGTGTATGTTTTTCAAGCCATCTAGGCCAAGATTTGAACTGCTGTTGGCCAAGTGGGATCTGGTTCCCTTAACCACTAAACTAGGGCACTGGCATTAGAAAATATATATGTGGGGAGCCAGCGGGTGGCGTGGTGGTTGGGAGCGCTGGACTCCCACATGTCCAACCGCAGTTTGAGTCCCAGACCCGGTGGCTTGCTTTCTCACTTTCCTTCTCTCTCTTTCTCTCACTCTGTTCCAATCTGGTCAAATTAAAATAAATAAATAAAGTTAAATAAAATGATTCTTAAAAAAAGAAAACACATATACAGGGGTCCACAGGTGGTGTGGTGGTTGGGGTGCTGGACTCCCACATGTCCAACCGCAGTTTGAGTCCCAGACCCGGTGGCTTGCTTTCTCACTTTCCTTCTCTCTCTTTCTCTCACTCTGTTCCAATCTGGTCAAATTAAAATAAATAAATAAAGTTTAATAAAATACTTATTTTTTTAAAAGAACTATTTATTTATTTAATTCCAATTGTTATCATTATTTTTTCATTTGACCAGAGAGTGGCATAAAGAAAAAGAGAAAAGGAAAGTGAGAAAGCAAGCTGCCAGGTCCGGGACTCAAATCATGGTTGGCCATGTGGAAATCCAGCGACTTTAACCACCACACCACCTGCTGGCCCCATTTTGATTTATTATTCTTCAATCTGACCAGAGAGAGAAAGTGAGAAAGCAAACCACCAGATCCAGTACTTGAACCATGATCAGCCATGTGGGAGTCCAGTACCCCAACTACACACCATCTGCCAGCCCTCAAAAAAAAATTTTTGGCGGGGGGGGGGCAGCAGTTAGCGTAATGGCTATGTCGCTGGACTCCCATGTGGTCGACCGCGGTTCGCGTCCCAGACCCAGTGGCTTAAAACTCACGCCGGGCGCGTGTGCATGCGTGCCCAAGATCCTGAGAGGAGAATGGAGGAGAAGGGATTGCAGCGTGGCCATCTACCCTGGGGGGTGATTTCTCACTTTCTGTCTCTCTGTCTCTCTCTGTCTGTCTGGTGAGCACACACGCCCTATAGCAAAAAGCTTTCCAAAAAAAGAAAAAAAATTTTTTTAATTTTTATTTATTTTTATTTTTTTT